TACAAGCTACCCTTTGTGAGGAAAAAGATGCTGGTCGCTTGATGCATGCATGCAGGCAGGCTGCCTATCTATACAGTAAGCAGTGATGGTATGCTTAACCTACAGTCAAGGTGTTTCTTCTTGGGTCCGCTGACTTCGTGCGTCGTGGCCTTGCAGACGGCTTTGCTGATGGCAGACCCGGTCATGCTGTGCTGTGCGGCGGCGATCCGGTCGGTCAAAGACTGTCCCGACATGTTACGGAGGAGGAGGAGGAGGCGGCGGTGGTGGTGGTGGAGGAGGAGGATGAGGAGGCAGGCGGAGGAGTGATGGTCGAGTCCGGGTGGGGGGAACCGGGGAGGACGATCAAAATGTCTTTAGCGGCAGGGAAGAGGAGGAGGAGGAGGGTAGTGCCCTCTGTGAGAATCGGCCAGAGGAGGGAGAAGAGGAGGAGGAGGTGGTGGTGGAGGACAGCAGCGTACACGGACCAGGATCCGGTGGGAGAATTCATGCGGCGGCCAAATAAAGCGTTAAACGGTCACACATCCAGAGAAGCATCCAAAAATCCAGCGCAGGGCAACAGGGTGGCCCAGCTGCAGAAATAATCAACCTGCTTGTAAAAAAGAAGAAAATCGGTGTAGCCTTTCAGAGCGGCCTGCATCCAAAGCTGGTCAGTGTATTAATATAATCTACAGTATCCCTGAAATAGACGCTGCTGAGGGTGAAATGCCGGCGCAGAGTCCGTGCCAGAGCGCCGAATCACAAAAAAGCAATGTCAGTGATAGAAAGACGGCCGGCGATGATTATGAAATCTATGCGGCATCACCATGACTGAAGACTAATTTTTCAAAGACACGGGCTGTAGCATTGTCCTTTCCCTCCCCTTTTCCTTCTTCTTCACCCGGTATCGCCTCTGAACGTGTGCACAGATCCGACTGCAAGCGCCTCTCTGATTCGCACACAGCACCCCGCGCTGGCTGCATGAAACCTCAGCCGCTGTGATTTTTATCCCCAGTCTTTTTAATCTTCTTTACAAAAGGGTGTATTTCTCTGCTGAGGTTTCCGATAGGCCAATTCTGATTTATTTATTTATTTTGTCAGTCAAACTTGTGTGTAAAATGGCAGCACATGAATCAGGTGACTGAGAAACGAGGGCGATTGGACCACTTCTCGGGTCCGGGGAGGGCATCTTAAAGCAGAAGGCTTTTCAAGGAGAGAAAAGCATCAGCTGGTTTATCACCTTAGTGCATACGGACAGCACAATAGTGTGATGTGCAAACTCGCGCTGATTATCTGCTGTCCAATGAAATGTAGACACATAGTGAGGAAAAACCACTAATAATAACAACACACAAAAAGATGTTTTATTCCTGTAACACCTCCTATGAAAAGGTGCCTCTGACCCCGTGTGTTTTAGTTTGTGCTTTTAAATCCCAGGAAAACCAGATGGTGACGTTTATTGTAAATAATTCCCCACCAATATTCCACCTCCAGTTTTTAACTTAATACTATGAGGGAGCTTTAAGTAATCGTTTTTGCTTTAATATCTTTTCACCGTTACAGTGAAATGTAGTTCCTGGAATGAAACAGTGTTCTCATAATGGTAAAATAACTCACAGGAGGATATTACTTAAATAGCTTAAAACATATTTCCTTGTGTTATCCAGAAAGCTTTAGAAGATATTCTCTAGACCACAAAATATTCACACTGCTAAAATTTCAACCCTGCAGGAACCTCTGTCCCTGTTTTGTCAATTTATTTTAATTTCTGTGGATTCAAAAATCATTGGTTCAAACTACTGTACATAAGTAAAAGTTGTTTTTATGTGTCACCATCTCCACTTTGCCAGGATCTGGAAGAAGACACAAACTGTCACCCTCAACCAGGAACTAGCAAGCTTACTGTGAGCTGGAAACTTGTGGAACAGCAGTGCCGCAGTCCACAGTGAAGTGTGTTTTACATCACTGGACTGAGAAGGCGCCAAGCAAGGCAAGTGCCTGCTCCAAAATTACACCTTCAAGCTCTATTTGAATTTTCAGCTGCTCACATGGACAAATCAAACATCCTCTGGAAAAAAGTTTGATGGTCAGAGGAGACCAAGGTTGAGCTATTTGGTCACAATGACAAAGAGGTATGTTTGGAGGAGTAAAGGAACAATGCACCAGCTGTCAAACTGGTGGTGGTAGCATAATTCTCTGGGGCTGTTTAGCTGCCAGTGGTACAGGTACACTGTGCAAAGTGGATGGTTTAATGGAGAAGGGGAGCTACCTCCGAATTTTCCAACATGATCACAATGATCAGCTTCAAATTGAGGACAATGATCCCTTCTTGAATGACTTTCCCAAAGCCAAACCTCACACCAATAGAAAATCTATGGACCAGTCCTGTGCCAGGAAAACAAGCAATTTAAATGAGGTCTGCAAATTCTGTCAAGAAGAGTGGTCAAATATCTCGCCAGAGTTATGCCAGAAGCTCGTTGACGGCTACCAAAAGTGTCTGGTAGAGGATGCTTGCATAATCATTGTACCATGGACAGAACAGGTCAAAGAAATCATTAAAAGTCCCAAATTACCATGACATTCATGCCCATGATTGCTGAATGTAAACGTTTGACTACAGCCGTACAACAAATAGACAATCTTAAAGTTAATCTGCTGCTCAGTTATTTACCTTGGTATAAAAAATGCCTAAAATACTGAAACATATTGATCAACATTTCCTTAAAATGCAAAGTAACAACCTCAAATTTTCCCTGCCAACAAACTAGAACCTAAAGATTATTCATTTCAGAATGACATCAAGAGAACAACTGTAAATCCTCAGAAGCATGCAGCTGTAGGAAGAGAAACTTTGCTTTAAAGTAAAGCTAAATGCATTATATGAATAGCTACAGAATAATTGGATAATTCTTTCAGTATTATTGTTCATTTGAAGGAGTGTTGATTTAAGTGACATGTAGTTGAGGCAAAAATCCTGAATGATCATCATTTAAAACATATGCAGAAGTACATGTCAGACACATAGTCTGGTCCACAGAGGGTGCAGACAAATGCCTCTATTCTTAAGGGCTTAAGTGCTATTGCACATCAAAGGCAGTGAAGAAAAATATAAAACAGATGCCTAATTTGAAAACATGGACCTTCAAATAACACACAAGACAAGCTCAACAAAAGCGGCTGTGCAGAAGAGGAGGAGCACATACCACATTTTTTTTATTGGACTGACAAGAAGTTGATTTTAAAGCTGAAGAAAATGTCCCATTTGAACAACAGAGCCAAGAGTTTGTGGTGAAAGTTAAGAGTGAAATACTTCAAAAATGAGATTCTTCACTGAAACCACATTTAAAATACAGACAACACATGTAAATTAGCAGCCGACTGAATATCCGTCAGTATATCAGGAAGAGGCAGAGCACTGGAGGACCCGCAGATGTCTTAATTGTTTTATTCTTACAGCTGTTTCTAATTAATGAATTCAGAAACAGTCTTTAGTATCTTATCAGCTAATTGAATGGTCTTTTTAGTGGCCATATCTGCTAAACTGTCTCCCCTCCAGGGTCCCCGATACTTCTCTGTTTGTTCCTGACTGCAAAGGATTCTTGTTTAGTTTCCTCAGCACTGTGCCAGAACAGATTTTCCACTTCATCAGCTCACGATGCAGTGTAGAAGGAAAATATATTCAACGAGATTGGTGCAAAGCAAAAAAATCCCACTTAGTGTTATTGTTGGCTAAATTCTTTGTTATGATTGTTATTATTATTATTCCTCTAGGCCACCAGTGGGCAATTAATTTTCCCACAGGGGCCACATGATAAACTGCCCCCACACCAATAAGATGAGCTGAATTCTGCTCAGTATTAATTTCATATCTCAACAAGCTGATTGGTGTGGCCCTCCATAGCAGTTCCAGCTTCTCATGTGATTCCTGTGGGAAAATTAATTGCCCACCTCTGCTCTGGGCTTATCTCCTCAAATATCTCCTCAAATATCTGGGCCTTATCATAGAGGCACTGTTGATGCACCACATCCATTGGCTTGGCAGTGGATATTAGACCAAATGCCCCCAATATAAAACATTGAGCTAATTTTGGGGTTGGAAAAATTAAGTCAGTAGGAAAGTATCTTAAACCTGCCTTCTATCTGAAGCCACTAGGTGGCGATAGCTGTTGCAAAGAGATTTCATTCCCATACAGCAGTTATTTCTGAAGCCAAGAGTGTGGCGCTCACATGTGGCCCACCCAATATTAAATGTTCACTCAAATCCATATACAAAAGAGAGTGATGTAGGTTCTTGAAAATCCTATTAAAAAAACATAGCCAACACAGTGTGCTTGCTATAAACTGCTAATGCTACCGAGTCATACGCAAAGAGACTGTATATGACTTCTCGTCCCAGCTGAGTTGAGGTCAGTATTAGTGCTTCAAGCAGCAGAGTTGAACAGTATGAAGCCCCTCCCTGAGTCAGGCTGTTTTCCCAATTCCCAGTCTATATGTTATCCAAAGCTGAGCAGCTGCTTTTATGTATCTCAAGCTCACAATGCAGTATTCATGACGTTGACATTTTTAGTGAGCGGTTAAACACAGATAGAAACGTAGGCCGAGGAAAAGTGCAAATAACGCAAGGAAGATTCATGTTTTCGTGTCTGTGTTCACACTGCTGGCAAAAAAAAAATCAAAGTTTTGAATTTTTTTTCATGTTACATCAGCGTCAGAACGAAAGTGCCACAGAGAGCCGTCAGTTCAAATATCAGTGTCACACTGTCGATTCAAAGCAAGTTAAAGAAGCGAGAAAGTGCCAATAATAAAAACTGCATGTACCGGTACCAACTTTTTTTCTTTTTTTTTAGTGTTTTGATTTCTAAGATTGTTAAAGTTTGTGTGGAGGGACAAAAAAAATGGATAAAGAAATAAAGTAATAAAAATCACATTTTGATACCCACAGAACTTCAAAGACTTTAAACACTTTTAAGATGTTTTTAAAATCAAATCTATCACTCTGAGACAGAATTTTTCTTAAAGCGGTCCCTGAGTCAAACATTTCTCGTGGCCTTCCCGTCTTGGTCGCCTGTTGATGTCAGACATTACCATTTTGAACACGAGGAGCAGCCAAGATGCTGCTTTGATGTCGTGGCGCATCCGGACAGGATGAGCGAACCAGGTTCTCGCTCTGTCACTAGACTCTCCTCGTTTCTCAGAATGTGCTCTACCAAGCAGCGGGCTGCCTCCTCAATGTTTGTGTTTTCCTGAGTGAGAAAAAAAATAGAAAAAGTAAGACAGCTGTGATGAAATCTTTACAGCGGACACACACAGATTTTAATATCTCAAGAGAAGCTGAATTGATTGCCATGGACGCACATTCATATTAAACTCAGAATGAGTCCTATAGAAGCTGTAATTTTCCTTACTTTTCATATAGTGACAACACATTCAATTCAGTTTTATTTATATAGCACTAAATCACAACAACAGTTGCTTGCAGGTGTTTTGTATTGTAAGGTCAAGACCCTACAATAATATAGAGAAAACCCCAACAACCAGATGCAAGCACTTTGGCGACAGTGGGAAGGAAAAACTCCCTTTAACAGGAAGAAACCTCCAGCAGAACCAGGCTCAGGGAGGGGCGGCCGTCTGACACATCTAGGTCAACCTTAGAGTAGGCAGCTGGATTGATGACAGCTGGATTGATGACAGCTGGATCGCTACTTCTCTTAGCAATCTGATTTTGTTGTTCTCCAAAGATTTTTTTGAGAGGTTTACGGTGAATAAAGTTCAATATCCAGGCTTTTCCCAGTCAGAGATAACGAGTATTATGGCAGTGGTTACCCGCCTTCTCTGTTAACCCAGTTTGTGAGCTTCAGCCTCACATACTGTAAGAGAGCCTATTCCAGTGGAGCAATTCAGCACTGCCTCCTCCAATCAGAGACATTATCAGAGGCACAGGTGATCTCTAAAAATTATAGAGAATATAGCAATAAAATGCAACATTGCTGCAAATAAGGCTATCTTTATGTTGTGAATTAACCAGCATCAAAAACGCACAAAGGGGTAAAATATCTCACTCTATTATATTTATTTTACCGCTCTGTGCTGCCGTTCACTTCTAATGTGACGGCAGCACCTTAAAGCTCTGAAACACCAGCGGTTATTCAGAGTGATGCAGTCAATTAATTGCATTGGTTTAACAGGTATTCTCAGAAATAAATAGCCAACAAATATAAATGTTTACTATTTTGGGTTCTAGTAGCTGCCATCGCAGCAGTTTAAATCAGACATAGCCGCACATCTACGCCCGAGCGTAAACATTCATTTTCTGCATCACCGACTGAATGCCAGCAAAATCCTGTGAGAATGCGACTCGACTTTACAGCTGGGCCTCATTTAGTGGTGTAAGGTACAACTTATAAACCTTTTTCCTTCAGCCCAGAATCTGTACAACGCCTAAAGCGCACTGGAATCAGTGAAAATGTGACGCTTTCAGCTGATTTTAAACTGAAACGCTGCACGTAAATTGCTCCTGGCCAGGTTAAGCATTCTCCATAGGTTACTATAGTGATTTAGCCAAGAAAAAAAATTACTATTACCGCATTAATTTAGAGCAGAGCTAGACTCTTTGGGACTAGGAATGCATGCTTGGCAGGGGACTGATGTCATATTATTTGATTTCTAAGTGTGAGCAGCATGTTTCATTGTAGGATGAAGGCAATCAGGACAGCGTTGTGTTGATTTGTGGACCCAAACGCCCCCCACAGCATAACTTTGTATCAGAGCCCCTCACTGAGGGCTTTAACGGTCCAGGCTTTTCCTTTCATTTGTCACACATCTACAGCTCTCTTTCAAACTGCCCACATGTCAGCCACCCTTTATGTACATGAACCTTTGTGTACAGTAACTACATCGCAGCCTTTACCTCATACTCTTGTGTGTAACTCATTGGAAAGGCATTAAATGAGAAGAAAAGGAAGAGTCTAGTTCACACCAGAGTGCTGGAATTCCTCTGTTTGCCTCCCAAGAGGACGGCAAATAAACTTGTCTGACTTTGAATGAAACATTTTTTGAATCGTTTGTTTTTACAGGAAGCTTCTGTTGAAATAACACTGCTCCAGTTTCCCCCCAAATATGCAAATATAACCCGATTTTGGGCCTTGCTTGTATGGCACAGAGTTATCATTTGGCTAGTCAAAGAAAGACCTCTAAGCTTTAAAAATCTTTGGTATACTCAACGATCTGTCTAAGAAAATCTACAGCTTGTTGCAGAGATTGCATCAAAAGCCACGTGGGTCTCCTCTCTCACACCTTTGCAGAAGTCTCAAACCATCCGACGAAGCCGTTCTCCCTACAAAAGACGTCGAGTTTGGGCTGCTGGGAAACCAGCTGGTCTGACTTGTTGGCCAAGAGTACAGCTGGAACTGGCCTCCCATGGTTCAGTGTCACCTTTGGACAGAAGAAAGTTGAGCTGGATCACATTATTTTTTAAATAAATTGTTAAATGGCCCAGTCTTACCTTAAAGCACACAAACAGAAAAATATCAGTGTGCCCTGTGGTCTCTCTGTAAAGACATTTTATCACAAAAGCAAACCAATAACAAAGTATTACTGACAACTATACGAGCTGAAGAGACTAGAGTGCTAATTTTCGCTTGTTCTCATCATGGAGTGGTTTTTGTCTGCTTTAAAGTGTCAGGAAGCTTTTTCAGAGGTGCGTGTTCACCCTCTGAAATCCTCTCACATCTTTTATGATGTCTCTGTCCAAAAATGCTCCCCTTTACGCGCTTTTCATGCAACAGTCTGCAAAAAATAAGTTGTACATTTTATTTCCCTTTCAAGTTCTGCTTCTTCATTTTCTGCCATTTCATGCACATCAAAGTGCAAGGTTTTTCAAAAGCCCGTGGCATTAATCTACATTTGAACAATGACTGATAATTTTCCACATATACAAAAGGAGATCATAAATGTGCATGACTACTCCCATAAAAAAAAAGCAAAAACCTGATTTAAATTTGCCCAAAATCGTCTTTCAGATCATCTGCTGAGTCGCCTCTGCTCTGCTTTGTTCGCTCCTCTGTTGTATAAAAATGAGGACCCTTCAACCTGAATATCAACCAAGAGCACGATTGTGATCTGTTGGGCTTTTTTTTCCAACTTTCACTGCACTAATGCAACTATAGCTCCCAATGCAAGATCCCAAAAACAACACTAGAAGTGATGCAGGGGTAAAAAGGAGAAAACATGTGGGTAAATGTAGCAACCTGAGGTTTTTGCCTTTTATGGGAAACGCTGCTGGATCCCTGTGAGAAGGAGAAAAAACACTGAAATACTGCAAAGAAAATAACAGAGGTTTTGAGTCAGTGGGGTGCTGTGATAGACTGGCAAGCTGTGCAGGGTGCACTCTGCCCTTCATCCAGTGACAGCTGGGATAGGCTCCAGCCCCTCCGTGACCCCGAACTGCATAAACATTTAAGAAAACAGATGAATGGAGGGGCTAAAAACTCTGTCTCTCTCTTTAGTTGCGATCAGTCACCAACCATCCATCCATCCATTTGCTTCCGCTTATCCTTTTCAGGGTCATGGGGGTGCTAGAGCCTATCCCAGCTGTCATAGGGCGAGAGGCGAGGTACACCCTGGACAGGTCGCCAGTCTGTCGCAGGGCTAACACACAGAGACAAACAACCATTCGCATTCACATTCACTCGCACATTCACACCTATGGGCAATTTAGATTTTTCAATTAACCTATCCACACAAAGTGCATGTCTTTGGACTGTGGGCAGAAGCCGGAGTACCCAGAGAGAACCCACGCAAATACAGGGAGAACATGCAAACTCCACACAAAAAGACCCCGACCCGATGGTGGAATTGAACTCAGGCAACAGCACTAACCACCATGCGATCAGTCACGTGTGGGTAAAAAAAAAAAAAAAGACAGAGAGAATGACGGTGAAGCCCAGCTTTATGCTTCTGCGGGTTCAGCCATCTGACCTTGGAGTCTAGGTCATCCTTCCACTTCAGCACGGCGTCGAACGTGGAGGCCCTCGTCACGTCAAACACCACCAGTGCTCCCACCGCCTCCCGGTAATAGACACGAGTCATGTTCCCATACCGCTCCTGTCCTGGGATGAGACGCCATCAATCAGACACACGCACATACAAAGACTGCTTTCAAGTCCATCAAATTAAATCAAGTCACGTCATGGTTTATGAGTGCCAGTTATGGAGCTCTGTGTGTGTGTTTAGTCTCCAGCAACTGCCATCATGTGCCTGATATTATGAGCATGGGATCTACATTCCTCAACCAGGCACCAAACGGCAGGGAGTGACCCAGGCATCTAACACACACACACACACACACACACACACACACACACACACACACACACACACACACAC